ATCCCCCCATAGCATTGCTTTCAGCCTGAAGAAAAACCCTTCCCCCTGTTGGTAACACTGATAACAGTGATGCTCAGTGTCCTTTCTTCTCTCAATCACCATTCTCCCAGAGGAAGTGGTGGTGCAGCTGCCTGCCACAAGTGCCATTCTGAGGGCAGGAGGGGATTTGGAGAGGATAACAGGTGGACAAGAGCAGGTGGGCAACAGAAGCAGATTATAAGTGATCCTGCAGTTCAGCTGGAATGGACTTTTTCTGTCTTTGATATGATAGGGCCTCATTCTGTTTCTGTAATCTTAATAAAACTGCAAACACAAGAGAGATATTTTTTTCCTTCTCTCCTCTCACTCCCTAAAAGAGGCCCTTTCAATATTTTTCCCCTCCATGCAGAATTTGCAGGGGAACGTGAGCCCATGCCAGAAATCACTAAGTCAGGGTTAACACACAAGATGAATAGAAGAGGGCACATGAAAAGGACACTATATGGTTAAGCAGGAGAAAAAGGGTGTTTCAGAATAGGTGTGTATTGACAAAGAGCTGCATCCTTCCAGATCCTCCGAGGGACAGAAAGTGTGTGACTTGGCAGAAGTGGAAGTGCTTCTTTTATTTTGCTGCTTTGAGTTAGAGGAAAATAAATGTTCATGGAATAAACACAGACTTAGGCTATCCAAGGCAAAAGCCAAAAAAAAAAAAAAAAAAAAAAAAAAAAAAAAATGTGCTGCTTAGGAAACACTTCGCCTGCTAACACAAGAGGTTTCGTGAGTAGCCATCTAGTCTGGTATCCTAGTAATGAGTGACTGGTTCATCAGTGTTTATGCTTGTGTAGTTTATTTCTTTTCTGCTGCTGTTTTTTTGGAGTTGTTTTCTCTTTTGTTCTTCTACTCACTCATTTTTGTGTGATTTATCATGGTTGGCTTTGTATGCCTACTGCCTCCAACATTTTTTACTCTTTTGCAATCAAATCTTGCTGTAGGACCATGTCAGTCTTACCCAGGGGTTTCTAAGCATCCAGCTACCATGGAAAGACAATCTGCACTGGTGCACCAGATGTAAGCTCAAGACAGATGTGATGTAGTCACATCATGGTCATTGAAAAGCCCCCAGTGTATTTCAGCCACAGCTCTGCAAGACAGACAATGCACAAGGAGTTGGAGTTTCAATCCTTAGTGAGAGGTATCACACAGCATCAGCAAATTAAATTAGTGTCATAAACGCTTTATTGTAACTCATGTTTCCTGCTGTAAAACATGGGTCTCGGTCCAAAAGGATCCTTTTCATCTTGTGTCCTTAAAATTTTAAGTGCCATTTCTCTGGTTCCCTTTAAGATTTCCTGTCTAATGGCTAGCCATTCACCCTCACCCTGATGGGCATTTCTTCCTCACCCAGCCCTCTGTGGCCAGACCCTCAGGGCAGACCTTGGCCATGCACCATAGGGTGCAGCTGCAAGTGAGCAGCTTCTTCAGCTTCACGCAGTGCCAGTGCCTTGTAAGGACTGCCAGAGCTGGAGATGATCCCAGAGTGCTCTCTCTCAAGGCAACAGTGCTTTTCAGCCACCCAAGGACATACAATCTGCATTTTGATTCATGCATGTTGAACTCTCCTAGTGCCATGTTATGACAGTGGCATATCCACAAAGATTCAGTTCACCAGCTGCAGCAGATCTGCTTTGTATGTAATTGTAACCTGGGTTTGACCGAGTTTGTAAAAAGTTAAGATGTACCTGAAAATTACTAACACTGTTCTTTAGGCTGTTCTCACTTCTGTTACTGAGCAGAAAAATACGTCAAGGTTTTGGTGTAGGCTTAAGGCTTTCCAGAGTATGGCAGCAGGAAGCTTTTGGATATCACTGTTTTATTAGATGTGATATTTTTAGATCTTCATTCTTGGTGAAATCAATGCACAACACATTTTTGTGAGGAGAAGAATTTAACCTCAGTTTTAACTTATTTTGACAAATATTCCAAGTAAGAAGAAAAAAAAAAAGAAAAAAAGCTTTGTTTTCTTTCCATGGTTAACAGATGAACTTTCCTAAATCTGAAGTAATAAGAGCATGGCATTTTGGTGTTCCTTGCATTGTACCTGACTCAAAAATGTCCTTATCATGAGTGATGCTTTCCAGTATTTTCTAGGGTATTAACAGTTACATAACAAGTGAGCAAACCTGAGGCATTTTTTGTGTCACCATTTGCAAGCACTTAATAAACTGCTGGAGCCATTAGCATGGTGGGAAGTTTTGCTAGGAAAATCCCAGGGGCTAAAGTAATCCAAAACTCACTAGACTGAATGGGGCTGGCTTCAATGGCTTTTACTTCCCAATATCAAGTGAGCAGTCTGTTCAGAAGCTTGAAGGAAGCCCTGCTTGCACAAAGATGTGGTCCTGGGTGTTGTGTGCTCCCCTACTAGACACTGCTGTCTCATGGAGGAAAGGAATTGGAAAGTCAGCCTGGTCTGAGAATGGGGGCCGGGGCAGTGGAAAAGCCCATGTTACCCAAGCAGGTCTGGAGCTGGACAGCATGGACTTCTTGACTCAGCTCCAGGCTAGGCATGAGCAGCAAGATGACAACTTGCACAACAGTGACTTCCTTCCAGAGCTGGCTGGGAAGGCAACCCTTTTGTTTTTACCATTTTTCAGCGTAGCATGAGGTACACATTTAGTTGCTTGCTCAATTACAGTCCACATTTTCTTGAGTGCAGCCAATCAAGTCTCGGCACATAGGTTATCAGACCTATCTGAGATACCCCAGAAAGGCTCAGAAACTCCACTTGAGACCAGTGTTCAGTGCAGTGGGTTGCAGGTGGATTTTTCATGATAACTTTGGTCCTTTCTCAGGAGCAAATTCCAGCCATACAGCTTCTTGTTGCTGTTTTTAATACATCAGAAATTATGTCAATAGAATGTTCTGTTGTTTCTCAACAACAGATTTAAAAAAAAAAAAAAAAGAAGTCAGAAAATTGGAAGCTTTCAATTGCAACTTTGAACAACACTAGGAGAGCTTTCCTGTCAGTTCCATTGTTCCCACACTGGACTTTTCTGCTGCAGGCCTGGTGAGGATGCTGTCATTGTCTTTTGTCCTTGAATGTAGATTGCATGACTTGCAGTGTTCCCGCCTCTGATGTTGTTTTCCCAAGGCAGCCTATAATGAAGAAAATACATGCTCAAGCTAGAACAAAGTCCACCGCTGCCTCACTAGCTAGGAGGCTGAATACAACATGTACAGTTTCAGCAGTGAGTGGTTGAATTTGAATGATTGGCTTGGTTTCTGCAGAAACCAGCTCAGCAGAGCATCTCCATGCAGAGGGTGGACTCATTATCAACACAGACAGTTCTGCAAATAAAGAGATGCAGTTTTCTACGCTTATGGGAGCAGGGACAATGAAAAGACAAAAGACTCTAGTCCTTTGCATGGGTTTCAGGTACTCTTTTCTAGGGCTGCTGGAATCCAAAAGAGCTGCCGACAAAAGTTGTGAGGTGGATTCATGTGTTTAATGGCACCTCGGCATGGGAGAGTTTCATCCTCCCCATGCTGTAAGATTGCTACCAGACCCTAACAGTCACTTGGTCAAAGGATTCAGTGCTTTGCACTGGAAGCTGGTAGTTTGCCTCCCAGCTTCTTTCCCTTGGCCCGCTTTGTTGGTCAGCAAACTGACAGGCATAGAGTGGCACTGTGGCACCAATAGTTGCGAGCAAGCTCAGCTTGGGGATGCTTTTTGGTATGGAAAAGCCAATGTCTTGTCACCTGGCACACCCTGCATGTTTGCAAAGCCCTCCAGAAAACATTATTCTATTTGATCAATGTATATTTGTTATCCTAACATAAAGGTGTCTGCATAGTTTACAGTCATCACTGCCTAAACTGAAAATAGCTGGCACCTTCTTGACAGGCATGGCGAAAAGTCTGTATGCTATGGGAATGACCTGAGTGAGCTGCTAGACCTGCAGAGAACATAACTGAATTAAAAACAGGAGCAGTACGTTAACAACTAAGTACCAAAAATGACAGGAGAACCAGTTTGAAAACAGTGCCCAATGGTTAGTGCTGGGAAGCCCTTATTGCTGCTGCCTGCGCTAATCCTGCTCACTGGTGGTAAGACTGGTTTCCACTTCAGTCAAACATCTCAGCCAGGAAAATCACAGGAGCCCCATCTTCATTCTGACATGATTGGTGTGTAAGGACTTCCCCAGCAGTGCTTATACATAAAACTCCTCTAACCTTGGAAGGAGTTAGCACCTTCCTTTAATTCAGTATTCCCAATAAAGTACCAGGCATTAGATTTCATTTCTGCATTGAACTCTAAATTTTATTCTGGGCTTTGTTCTCCTCAGCTTTGCAAAACAGAGAAAGGAGGAGGGGTAAGGCTCTTTGGCTTTGACACTATTGAAGCCTGAGGAGCCTCTGAATTTCAATTGAATAGAGCCCTAAGAAAAGATCTGTTGAAGGACGGCATTTCAGTGCAAGAAGGATGTGTGTTTAGGACTTTCCATTACATAGTGAGGCTGCAATGGATTAACAAGACCCAGGCTTTCTTTTTCTTGAGAATTGCTGCCTGCACTCTTTTTCTATTAATGATGCTTCAGTCACAGCACTCACAGAAAGGTTTTCTTTGTTGTTATTAGTTTGAGAAGTAAATTGCCGCATTGTTTCTCCTGATCAAGAGATTGATTAGTCAGAGGTCTCTAGCTAAAGGGAAAAAATGTTCCTCATTATCAACTTTAAATGCAAATGTATTTGCCAAGAAGAGTTTCAGATGGTGAGGAGGGTGGGGATGGGGCATGGGGGTGTGCCTTGCTCTTTTGATGTGCTTCCCATAACCATTTACAGATCTTTGAAAGGCATCCTTCTCATCAGGTCAGTGAAGAAAGAGTGTGGGAAAGATGCCCTAGAAAGAGAAAATTAACCATTGCCACTTCCAGCTGGGTACTTCTTGTGGTATTTTGACGAGTAATGGTGCATTAGTATATTTGTGGGGTTTGTTGTGTTTTGTCCACTCTTTGTCTTCCTAGGTGCTTTCATAATCTGCTGGACCCCAGGATTAGTCTTGCTGCTCCTTGATGTTTGCTGTCCCCAGTGCAACGTCCTGGCCTATGAAAAATTCTTCCTGCTCCTGGCCGAGTTCAACTCTGCCATGAACCCCATCATCTACTCCTACCGGGACAAGGAAATGAGCGCAACCTTCAAGCAGATCCTCTGCTGCCAGCGTAGTGAGAGCGCCAACGGCCCCACTGAAGGCTCGGATCGGTCAGCATCCTCGCTCAACCACACTATCTTGGCTGGTGTCCACAGCAACGACCACTCTGTGGTGTAAAACCACAGCCAGCCACGTGACCGACAAAGAGCAGCAGGCTACACCACAGAGCGGGGTGGGTGCATGGGCCCAGGGAAGGTAACCCACTTACAACGTTTTCTTAAACACTAATGGACTACAAGTGCATCTTTTCCAGGGAGCCTGGCACACCAGTGCAGACCACCCCGTCCACAGGACTGGCCAGGCTGCAAGGCCTTTGATTTCTACTTTAAAATAAAGTAGAAGGTAGATGCCTTGAGGCGGAGGTCATTGATAGCCCATGGAAAGCTTTGCTGAGACTTTGTTGGACTTCGCGCATCTTGGTGCCAGTCTGAATCAACTCTGATTAATTAAGCTTATAACTGCTTCACTGCATTTACATGTAGCCACTTAGTATTTTTAAAAAGGGAGTAAAGGGGATAAAATTATGCCTATCATTTAATAGACATGTAATATGTATCACCATCAGCATGCTTGTGATGAACGTTTTCTGTGCAGGGAGTAAAACTGTGCTCTAGTCTTTGTATCCGTAGCCACACTGCCATAACTTCAGTAAAAACAAAAGTATTTTTTCTAACACAGGCAACAGGAAGATGATGGAAACTGACTCTTCTTACCTTCATTACTGGCGTTAGAGAATGCATGTTCTGTGTGTATGCAGATTGTTTTAATTATGAAAAAAAAAGCTCTTTGTAAAGTCTGCAGGAAAGTAGAAAAGCATAGACTGTATTCCAATGTTTGTTTAGATTATGAAATAAACAGTACTTTAGTCACAATGTATATAAGATTCTTCTTTGAAATGCAGTATGAAATGTGTAACGTGAGGGGTACCAAGTTTTTTATGGACAAGTTCTTAAAGTAGAACACATCCCTAGGGCTCTTAATGGGCTGCAATCAGGTTGGTAGATTAAAAAAATGTATTTATGGCATTGGAACGTTTTTCTTGTTTATGGCAAAAAGCATAAGCATTTTTAATGTGAAAAACAGTATAAGTTTTTATAGACCTTTTCTTGTAATTGAAAACTAAACACCTTTTGCATTTTTGCACTGAGAAATATTTGTAGGGTATCTTTTAAATTATATACCCTTCACTTCAAAAGCAGTGAGCCACTAAGAACCAAGGTACAATTTTATTTTGTGAAGTCAAGACTTTACAACGTAGTCATCTACTGCAAATGACTGGACCATGCTACAGATAATAGGCACACACGCACATTGCTATAAATAGCTAAGTTAACAGGTGGACTTTTTCATACCAGACTGTTTTGAAGAGAAATGGTACTCATGTGAATATCAGTTGCCAAGAATCACTGACATGAAACAAAATTGCTTAACAGGGTTAAATGTGAGCAAAGGTGGGATCTTGCTGATAAAAAACTTGGGACCTTTCTCTGTGAAACTGTATGTTCTCCTACCAATGTAAAATATATCAAGAGTAAATTCCTGGGGCCATTTTCCTCATTGTCATTTGCCTCTATACAAAAAAAAAACCCCCAACACCCAACAAAAAAATAAACACCCCCCAGAAAAACCACACAACAAAATCAGAGATGTATATCCTTCAGTGTACCCTAGTGAAACGTTACTTAGGGAACAATGTTCTCCCATTTGGGCACGGAAGAAATGGAGGGGAGAGAGTCAGCCCAGCAAAATCCAGTGTTTTTAGCATCTCTTGCTTTGAGGATGCATAAAATTGCTTGGAACAGGCAGTTTCTTGCTGAGGGAGGGAAGAGAAACAAGTGAACAAAACTTGCCTCCACTGAATAAAGTGAGATTTTTGATGCTGCTTTCAGGAAAAGTGAAATCACCTGACTGTCAAGCTGATTTGTGTGGACATTGTGCAAGGTGGAGTAGGCAGAATGGATAAACATAACATTATCTGCCAACTGACCAAGGTTTTTAATATAAACACTTGCTTTCAGCAAAACAGCTCTTTTTTTCCTGACTGTATTTAGAGCAAGTGAATGTACAGGTTGATTTGGTTTTATTCACATAACCATACTGAGAAAGAGAAGAACAGGCTGTATGAATTTATTCTTTAAAAAGCATCTGCTTGCTAATCCACTCATCATTTTTTCTTAGTGCCTGCTTGATGGTTGAACTAGTGCAGGTAAGCAGAACAGAGAAGAGGGTAGACTGCCTCCAAAGACAGGGGACATCTGACTGAAAAACAATTTCTATTTCTCAAGAGTGCTTGGACTTTTTTTCTTTCTTGGATCCAGTGAGAGCACTTTTTCTTGTCTCTATCATCCCCACAAAAAAAAAGAGAACATAGTGGACACTTTATTTTAGCTTTTTTGGGTTTTTTTTGGGTGGAGGTTGTTGCCCTTTCCAAGTGTCCTTTATACTGCTGAGGAGGGATGGTGTTAAAAAATAGCAGCAAATCATTCACCCTAGTTTACCCTGCTCAAAGTGTAGTGGGTTTTGAGAAGCCATGGGTGAATGATTCAAACCAGGGGTGCAATCATTCAAGATTGTGGGTGGGTGCAGAGGCCCCTTGTGAAGATGGATGCCCAAGGAGGCTTTTCTGTTGTCACTGTGATTGCAACAGATGGCAGTTGCTGTCCAGGTACATTCATCAGCCCCTCTCCAAGGAGGCACTGGACAATTTGAGAAGCCGGACCCTTTGACCCCTTAGCAGCAGCTAAATTTCAGTTGTCAGGTATATTAATCCAGGAGCACTTCTGGCAGCAGGTGGTTGTCTTCTAAACAGTGAAGTGCAATGCTTTAGATCAAAGGCTACAGGAGGCAAACATTTTACAACTGCACTAGAGGAACTCACTGAGCATTTGGCTGCTCTTTAAAAATTTAGTTAGTGCTTTGTGTTGTTGACATGTTGTCTCTATATCCTTGGGAAATCTGATCTGTGAACTGAGTGGTTCTTTGCAAGCTAGTGAAATTAAAGCTGCGGTGAGCAAAGAGAATAAAAACCAGAGCCTGCAATAGAAGGGTTCATTTGCTGTCTTCTTTAGAATGGTTCCCTTGCCATTTGTTTTTGTCTCCGAATTTTTTTAAGTTTTACTTCTCTGTTCAGACTTTCCAGCTTCATTGTGCAGTTATAGAACTCACTCCTGCTATGTGAAAACATAGTACAAACTACTTCAGGGAAAAAAATTGCCCCCCTTAATTTTACTTATCTCGAATTCTTCAAAAGGTTTTAGAAGACTTCTTAAAATACCAACAATCCTCCCACAGTCATTAAAATTCTTCTGTTGCTGGCTGCCCCTGGTCCAAGTAAATCCTCTTGAAGTTCAAATGTAATGGTGTTTGTGTCAGCAACTGTAGTGGTAGAGAGTTGTGTATTAAAAGGAATATGGTTGATGCAATCATTTGCAGGTCAAGGAAAATGTGTTTTTCTACTTCACGTTCTTTCAGAGGCAGCACAAGTCTGAAAACTAATTGAAAAGAATGGCCTTTGAATGAAGGACTACTAAGTAGAATTTTAATTCCCTGTTGCTATATAGAAAGAGGCTGGGTGACTCACTGGTCAAAAAAAAGCACAGCTTTCATGTAAAATTTGAAAGTATATTCTATGGAAGTATAGTCTATTTTACCCAGTATATTCTACGTATGTTTGACACAGTGCTTTTCTTGTCACACCCTTTTTTGTTCCGTGTGTTCTGAAATATCATGGTAGCTTCAGGCTGGCTTCTAAATGAGATACTGAAAGCTCAGCAGATAGGAGAAAGGGCAGACCAAATAAAGACCTTTTCAGTGATTCCTAAAACTAAGCATACCTTTCTGTCCATAGTGTACTAGTAGCAGAGTTTTTTGAATAGTTGCCACAAGATCCAACATTGCCCTTCCTAAATATTCACAGCTGTGGCACTGTTTAAACAATGTGGCAACAAAGACTCATAGTAGTCACTTGGTGAAAAGGAAAGGGCATGGTTGCTATCTTCATGGTGCAAATTAAGTCTGGGTAACTTGGATGTCAAACAGGAAAGGACATGTTTTTATGTCCAGTGTCTTGGTTCTGCTTCCCCTTCTGAGTAACTTTTCCATACCAGCATCAATTTCACCCAGTATGGGATTTCACTGAAATGATACTTTCCAGGTCACTCCATGTAGTATGGCTTTTGGTTTGCACCTCTGTGGTGGCCAGGGATTTGGCCATGGCCAGTCTGGATCCTAGGAGCAATTTTTCATGGGAAACTCAAGTGGGCTCCGCTTCTAAAGCAGGTTTTGCAGCTTTTTCTGAATGTCTGTGTTTCCCCAGAAGTATGCTACCAGATACCATACTTAACTACTGTAAAGCCAAGTGAGGTTTCTGTCTGTGACACTACCAGAGCCAGATCTCTCTTCTCACTGCAGTAGGTGTCCGCAGACTGAAACCACACAGCTTTTTCTGTGAAATAAATAAAAGCCCACCCAGCAGATTGTTTTTCCCAGGTGGAATTAAAAAGGTCACCCCCAGAAGGAGAGGCTTTGAATACAAACACCTGTGGTCTGTCTTTCAGTTGGTGTGAATCAAGGCAATGCAAAGCAGAGCAGGCAAAGGCATTTCTCTAGGGTATTGTCCCCATCCCATGCAGAGGCATGACTCCATCCCTGTTGTACCTGTCATCCTTTTGGGTCCCTTCTGACCACAAGACCGGATGGAGCCGACAGAGGTGAGCCTTAGTGAACTGGCTTTTTTTCCACTTGGTGCAGAAGTAACACAAATCAAATACAGGCTTTTCCTTTTTCTGGTTCTCTTTAAGGCTTTCTTGTTATTGCAAGTGTACTATCTTGTCCTTTCCAACCAGTTCTTGCTGTTAGCCATTGGTCTGTACTGTACACTGATGTCTGTATGGAAGGGATTTGCAACTTGCAATCTCATTTGTTCAGATAAATTGCTTGGGCTTTACCATTTGATTGGAAAGGCCACTTCCAAAAGACATATAGCTTAAAGAGCACTAACTCCCACATCTGTCCAGTGCCTCAAAAAAAAGTGCCCATATCTTTTCTCCCATTTTCCTGTCATAGAGGATTTTCCAAGAAGCTGTTTACCCAGCTCCTGTTTTTTAAGTTTATCAAGGAGAAAAAAGGCGGTTGATACTAAAAAACAAACCAAACCAAAATAAAACAAAGTGTCAACAAACAGAAACCCTACAAAACAAACAAAAATTAAAAACTACAACAAAACACAATACAACAATATTCAACAATGCTGCTGTCTCCTGCAGTACATAGAAATCCAACCCACTGATAGCTGCCAACATTTTTACAAGAGCCTCCATGAAATGTTCCCGTTTGCCTGTGATAAACTTCTGATAACCAGAAGTGTATGTGGGAGACTCAGGAATCTGTTCATTTGTTTTCCTGTTTAAATAAAGATGTGTTTGTAACTCACAAGTATAGAGAGAGCCAATAAGGCTTGGCAAACAATTTTGTTATAAGTGCACTTACTGTAAATGTTTAGAGGTTATATCTAGTACAATAAAGTATTTGGCATGTGTAATATGGAGTGTGAAAGAAATACCCTTTGTTGGGAGAGCTGGTATTTTGGAGGTGGAGAGGAATTATTCAAAAAACATGACTGAGACACAGGTCTCTTTCAAGAGACGGCAGAGGGCTGACACACAGGGACAAGGAAGGGACAGGTTATTTCCAGTAAATCACTTAATAATACATTCTGTTTCTGATTCTTACCTGCCCACCTTCCTTTCAAGCCCATATTTACACCAATTAACATCAGGCCTCCTCTAGTTGCTATATAGAAAAATTTCCTGCGTAGAGAAAACAAACCTGCTGCTTCTTTTCCCTTTCCCTCTTCTTTCCTCTCTTCCTCAGTTTTCTTCCTCTTCCTTTCATCCTTTACCTTACTTTCCTTTTTTGCTATACATAGACATCTTTGTCCTATAATGTGTCCACAGTTTTAACCATAGAAGGTCATTCATTGACTAAACCAAAGCTGGTTGGCGTATATATAGAAATGAATGTGTCCACACACACATCTGCAAAGCCATAGGAAGGAGGCAGAAATTAAATAAAAAGCATTATTTCAGTGCCGCTAAAGTATAGCTCATTTAAAGCCATTTACATGCTAACTCCTATTTCACATTTTGAAGGCAAGAGGAGTTACATAAAGTGTTCATTAACCCCCTGCCTTTTGTTAGAGAAGCCGATCACTTACACACTGATAGAAGCCAAGTGTCTGCTTCAGCAAATGAAAGAAAATAAAGTTGGTGTTCCTAATGGCTTGGGGCATTATTAAGTACAAAAATGAAAAAAAGAGGAGAGTTCAATTTTTTTCATCTCCCAGATCCTGGTGATTCATGACTAATGCCCTGGTGCTGGGCTTTCTGTGGCACATCATGTGCAATGTAAGGCAGCCCCGTATAGCTTGAGTGCTGGACATAATGATCAGAAAGCCAAAATACACAATTGCTAAATAAATCATGCCTCATGAAAATGCACTGCAGTGCCTCTGGGATTTTCTGTTTAAGCCCTGGATCACCATTTGCTGGGAAAGTCCGACTGTTTATATGGCGATCTGTTAACATTAAATACACAGCACGTGCAGCGACGCAACCGCAGCCTCAGCACGCAGTAGGCAGCACACAGAGCAGGAGGTCTGAGAGCAGAGAGCCAGCACATTTGAGATCACAATGCTCAGAGCCTGCAGTGCACTTCCCTGCATTGCATGGGCCAGAAGTCCCATTCTGCTTTGTGCCTTTTTGTGCCCCTTCAGGCCAGGCATGCCTGGGTGGACAGGTCTGCTGCACATGAGCTGGTCCCAGCAGAAGCAGATGCAAGTCCAAAGCATTTCTCCTCTTAACTGCTTAGGCTTCACACAGTTGTGGATCTGCTGCTCCCACCTCTAGTCCTTGCAAGCTCAACCTCTTGCTTAAAATTCTTGTCACCCCTCAAAGAGTCTGTCCAGCGTCTCATTTTCGTTGCCTTTCTCTGTGCCTCCCCCAGGCATCCTGAACCAGCTTTGTGTCAAACTGCAAGGTAAATGCCAATTGCTTTAACCACAGATGCAAATCCTTTGGAGGACAAGGTAGGAATGGAGTTAAATCCAGTTGGCAGCTGGTCACAAGTGGTGTTCGCAGGGCACGGTATTGGAGTCAGTTCAGTTTAATATCTTTATCAATGATGTCTGGTGGGTGTCACCATCCTTAGAGATATCTAAAAGATGTGTAGATGTGGCCTTTAGGGACATGGATTACTAGTGGGCTTAGTGCTAGGTTAATGGTTATACTCCATGATCTTAAAGACCTTTTATAACCCAAACAATTTGACGATTGCAAGGGAAATAAATAAATAAATATATACAATATATAGAGAACAAGGAAGTGAATAATTGTGGGGAGGAAGGGACCACACAGAAGAGACTCCCCTACCTTTCATGCAGGATTTGGTTTATGATCTTTTCAAAGACTTTCTCGCAAGTTCAGGAAAGAATTTTGGGTTGTTGGTCTTTTTCAAAAGGAAAGAATAATGCCTCTTCCACAGCATTACTTTTTTTTTTTTGTCTGATTGTTGGTTTAGGTGTATTTAATTTATTAAGAATTCAAAAGATCAGCTGAAACAAGGAAAAGCTTCTCATTTACCACCCACACTCAGCACAAAATTAAACTGTTTTTATATAAATGGTGTTTTACCACTCAAAGACTGAAGGATGCTTCAAGGCATGATACAGATTGGGGTTTTTTAACTTCTGTTTTTCCAAAGTTCATGATATCTGGATATTTTACAGCCTATTCTGCCACAGATTTTGAAGTTTGCACATTATTCTTGTCCTCAAGTGTCTCTTTGCAATCATGCTTCTTCAAAATATGTAAACACTCCTTAGTTCTAGGGAATTACTCAAAAATGTGCCTGGTTTGAGCTAGTCCAGCTGCTGCAGCCTTCCAGACCTCTCTCTTGTTTGCTCACAGTGAGGTCTAATTTTGAGCCACAGCTAGATGCTAGCAAGTGACAATTATTTTGTTTAGAAATTCTTGTCTCAGAGGAAACGTCAATAATGTGTATCTGTCCCTACAGCTAATTCAATGTGCTGCAGGCAAGCTGGCTGCCCCATGGTGTTTCTTCAACAGACACATCAGAAAAACAGACTTTACTGAGCTGGACTGGGTTAAGGGTTTGAAAAAGGTGACTGACCTTTCTTTTGTTTTTGAAACATCATTCCTACATCTTTGCATGAACATGCTTAGGGGTGAGCTGTTGTTTAGTCTCCAGATCATCTACCCTTTCTCCTACTGTTCAGAGATGCGCACGCTCATCTGTGGCCCTGATACCCCCAGAACTGTCAGTGGCAACAGGGCTGAGATGAGAAGTGCTCAGCATGGAACAGGTGCAGGGGCAGAAGGAGCAGAGGTCTGTCAAAATACTCAGTAATGGTCCAACTCTCGCCAGCACAGATTTGCACTGACTGACTGGTGTCAGCAATGCCCTGTGGGCTCCTGACCCCCGAGTGGGGCAGTGCCAACCACTCATTTTGGAGGTGACCAACACACTGGGAAGGACAAGGAAGTTCCCAGCCCATGCTTAAGGAAGTGAAGGTGAAATTGTGCTCCTGTGGACATCTGCAGACATCTTATTCTTCGCATTACTTTTACTTGTTTCTCTTTTTTTCTTCCCACATCATTTATTTTACCTCAAATGTCCAGGTGGGGACAGCCCTCCGGGGATAAAAGGTACCAGGCCCAAAGGGGCCCAGCAGCAAACTGAGATTTTTTGGGTTGTTGGTCAAAGCATCTTATGCTCAGAAGCAGGAATTGTGATGGTGACAGGCTGAGAAACAGCAACCTGACATGCCTATGCCTTTTTCCTTCCTTGTTCAGGGGAGAGGGAGATCTTTCATGTTTTGGAGGAGGAAAGGTCATTCTGATACCACAGGTGCAGCTTGGCAGAGTTGCTTCAGGTGGGCTGATAGCTCTTCAGGAACACCTGCAATGGAGGGCAGCCTTCTGGCATGGGAGGGGTGGCCAGGCTGGGGCAGCTGGGCATGACCACATCAAGCTGGCACAGACTTGTCCAGTGGGGGAGTTTGCTGGAAATGGTAGGTGCTGGTGGTTCAGAAGCACCAGTGTTTCTTGTGGATTCATTCCTCAAAAACATAACTAGGGGGTGGGGTATAGGGGGTAGGGAAAAAAAGAAAAAGCCTCCATATTTTCTATACAGTGGAAAACCTGATTTTCATTCCAAATGCTTAAAAGCACAAGCCATTCACAGTTGATCTTCCAGAGGGAGTGCACAGCAAAGTAAAGCAGCAACTGGGGCCCTTGACTGTTAAGACCTTCTTTCTTGTCAGCTGGACACATGCATAGTCTGTGTTACAATGTCTATATATTGGTCTGAAAACATCAGACACGTTTAATGATTTATTCTAAGTGCACACATAAAGCCCAGTTGCGACACAGGCAATGATTTTACTTAGACAAACTCCATGAAAACTTGCAGGATTAGAAGACTTTCACTTTAAAGGGGTTTCTATTTTATATTTCAGCACATAAAACTGACAAATACTGGGTAGCATTACTTTATTTTTTTCTAAGCAGAACATACCCTGAATCTAAGTGTTCCCAAATCCTGATAAAGCACAAAGAGCAACTACAAAGGGAGAAATTATGATTTTATTTTTTTTTTTGTATCACCATCCACAGATAACAGCTTCCTTTTTTGGAACCAACCATGTCAACTTAGCTGCTACAGAAGGGTTACTGTCCTTGAAAACTGCCAGCTTCTGAACCTGACTTGCACCCTCTGAGCTCAGGGAGGTTTTGTTCACCCTCATGAATTTCTGCCTTGCCATGGCTCTGCAGGTGTAGAGGGAAGCAAGGACCAAACGGACTTTGGGAAGGAGGAGGAGCTCTTGTCTTTCTGGGGTGTGAAGTCAGCCCAGGTGGGCAGCTGTGTCAGGGAGCCTTGCCAGGAGGAGCAGCCACAGGTGAGCCACAGGGCCATGCTGCGGGAGGAACATGAAAAAAAATCTTTGCAAGCAGTTATATGAAATAGAGCCAGGCTGGACTACACTCTTTCCTGCCTCTAGCACTTTACAAAGAGGTGAAATCTCTGTGGGGATACAGTGGAACACCGCTAAATTGTGGCTGAAAGAATTATATGGTTATAATGAACCCATAAAGTGGATTATAAGGATTGCAGACCTGGTCCAGAGAGCAAGGACATAAATGTTGTCTGGGATGAGGCTTCTTGTCAGTAGGCAGCATGGTGCTCCACAATGAACTCAGGATGGGCTCCTCTGCACTGTCCTTAAATTATGCTCTGTGGTTATAACTCAGCTAAAAAGGATGTGTCAAATTACACATGTATATGGCTGTGACAGCATTGAGAGAGTCTTCCCAAGAGTGTGGAAAAAATGGCAGCCTGATTGGCCCTCTTGCTTCTCCAGTAGCTCCCAAACAGTGGACATGTCTGGATTGCATTGCCTGGCCAGAAGGTTGACTGTGGCAGCAGAATCCATTCCATGGGAGATGGTGTGTATCAGGATGT